GCAGGCCTGGGTTTCAGGCACCACTTCCCCTCTGACAGCTTCTCTGGCACCCTTCCGCACCTCCCACCACCAGTTATGTGGTTTTGTGGTGAATTTTTATGGCATTGTAGTCTTCCTCTATTCTATAACAGTTCGTGTGTGTGTGTTTACATTTGTTTTTTTAATTGTCTCCCTTTGCTGCTATAGTATAAGCTCCCTGAAGTCCAGTATCCACGCACCTGTCTGCCCGTTGTCTTCACCATTTCATGTCCAGTGGCTTTCATACACTAAATGCTCAGGAGATATTTATTGGGAGGATGGATGACAGCATATGGAATACAACACTTCCCCAAGATGATCACATAAAACCTCAGAAATCAAATCCTCTACTTATAGACAGGAAGCCACAGCCAAGAGGCAGAGGGCCCTCGGTGGCAGGTATTGTGGCCCAGTGCTCTATCCATGCCTGAGTTATCTATCTTCTTTCAGTTAATAGAATTTGATCATTTTGGAGAACGGATCTCCATAGAGAGCCGACATAGAAATTCTAGTAAGATTTTAAGTGACACTAATAATTCAGTAGGATAAAGATCTAGAGACTAGAACATTTTAAAAAATGTCTATTTCAAACGCTCCTGAAGGTAGCTGTAGCAATTTAGTATCAGGTATAGTTTCATGGCATAAAGAATTGATTTTATTTAGGATGTCTTGAGTTACACAGCTTTTGCTAGTCTTTTCACAGTCCCCATCAGAACTCTGAGCCAGTCTGCCCTTTACCTTTTCTTTACCAAGGAAAGTAGTTTCTAGTCTGGGTGGCAGCTTTGAGCAGAGAGCATCATTGTGATCAATAATGCAAGCAGAACTTGTAAGAAACACAATAAAACCACTCATTCTTGGAAGAGATATTTCTGATTCTATTTTTCCTACTACCAATGAAAAATCTAACATTATGCTTTTAAATCCAAGGACCTGGGCTTCAAGAACACTCATTAGCTTTCTTTTACAATTGTACACTCACATGACAAAAGAATTCTCTAGAAATAAAAACGACAGCAAACCCCAGACTTTCTTTGAATGTGCACTCAGCTTCCTGACACTCTCCACAAGGTCCAGGTTAATAAAAACAAGGTCCCTCATAGAAAACATGGTTTCAACATTTACTTTCCAGGGAATTGTAAAGGTGCCAGAATTATAATCCCCTCCAGTGTTTGAGTAACTATCAGGCTGCTGAAATTATTAAACCTGTTCATTTAAAAAATTTCACAGATGTGGCACCATCAAAAGACAAATATTACAACAAACTTAAAGGTCTCCATTGGCTTTTTTCTCCATGATTCTAGAACCCAGCAGCCCTCAGAACTTGAACAGGCTCCAAAAATATACAACATGGTCAGGCAGTATTTATGGACAGAAAACAGAAGTGAGGTATAGAGACAGAAGTGAGATACAGAGCTTAATCGGTTTGCCTTATTTGAATTACTTGTCAGCCACCACTGACTAAAACTCTGCTGTAACAGAAACTCAGCCATTTGTTACCTGAGTAAACTCCTAATTAATTTTACTTCACACAAATGACTCCATATTGGTTTGGTCTGTTGGGTGCAAATCGTCTAAATCAATGGTGTTCTATGAATTTTAATAGCGCCAAATTCTGCTTAATGGCTAAAGTTTATTTAATGAGTATAAATCCTACTCCAGTTGTTTAAGAAATGCAACTACTTTGAAGTATTTTTAATGTTCAGGGTATATGGGAAAAAAGAATAAAAATCGTATTAATATTTCAAGTACTTTCAGCCACTTAAAAAAAATCTATAGCTGAGCATACAGAGTATTGAAGGAATATTTGTCGAAATATTTTTCTGACTGCATCATGTGAAGTGAAATAACTCAGGGTACAATTTGCTGCTGGTAAGAAGTAAGAAGCATAGAACAATGCCAAGCCAAGGAGGAATGGTTCACATGCTTCCTGGAAGGTGCATGAAGCTTGCTTGCTTGAGCATATCAGAGGGAAGGGCTGGGGCAGGAAATAACTCTGCCCTGTCTGGCTCACATTTACCTAATTCCAGCAGTGGAGAATGTCTGGTTCCCAGATTGGATCCAACTCCCAGGGTGTTTAATCTGCCAGTAGAACCTTAGCCAGCTCTGCCCAAAGAATGATTTCCCCCACTGGGCTTGTGAAACTATGCTACTTAGAAAATTGACTTTGAACCAGCAATGAGTATGCAGATAACTGATCAAAATTTCAAGGAATTTATAACTCAGACCTTGGTGGATAGAGTATCGCAAAGAACTAGACACTCGTGAAGCCCTCTTCTCATTCCTTTTGACATCTTCTGTTCCCATGTTTTATGATCAAGATCACACTGTCTCCTGTGCCTTTCCCTCCACTCTCTACCCGCCACCTTCCATTTCCCACACTCCCCGTACATGAGTGCATATGTAAATTTAGCCAAATTTATCAACATATTTCTTATCTATGCAGTGGAGATAATAATGCCTCTTACATTCAATTTCTGTCCTGCAGGGTACTTGCCACAGAACTTAACTAAAGGGCACATATCTTGAGTTTTTTCCTGTCACAGTTCTTCCTTTAAGACTGTCCCTCGCCCTGGCATATAGTTGGGATTGCAGCTGGATGCATAAAGACACAATTCCTTGAGCCACACATTTGCACTGGAAGGCGGAGGGAAGCAATCCAAAAATAAAGAGCAAACAAAGACATTCTAAATTCAGTACTGCAAATGATGAGGTTGATTTAGCCTCTGAGACATTTCGTTTTACAGTCTGAGATCACAATAATAAGAGTGCACCAAGTTTCAAGCTAAACCTTATCCAGGAACTCACCATTGTGCCACAATGGTGGAAGGCCAGAACTGTTCCAAATCAAGGAATGAGCTATGGCCAACTTTTGATTTATGAAGGACAGCTGACCTCATCTGGAACTCTTTCTGAGGTCCTGCAAGGCCACATTTCTGTCACATGCACCATTTTAATGTCAGCTTCTGGACTCTGGGGCTGAGCCTGGAAAGAAGCCATAAATTATTTTCTATCATGCACATGCCATAAGCTGGCTAGAAGAGATAGGATATCCATCTGTCTCTTTTGGAGGAGCAGGGGGAGACCAGATATAACTCAAGACATCCCAAGATGCAATTTCAAGTGGTCATCTTCTGTTCTTCCTTTATTGCTTCTCCTGACTTCTACTTTATCCTGCAGATTATGGCTAAAGAGCTGGTAGTGCTGGTAAAGAGGGTCAGGCTTGGATGTACTAGGGACAGCAGGGCTGTAATGATAACTGAGGACTCAGCATCTACCTAGTCCTTGATTCATTCATTCATGCATGCAATCAAGCAGATTTTAAGTAAGCAACCACTGTCTCTCCACTTGTCCAGAAAGTTCGAAGGTTAGGACTGTTCTAGGAAACTTTCTTTTGTTGTAATAATTTCAGCCATGATTATGTCTCTAAATTTCCTGTAGGGTTTGGAGAGGGGAGATTCCTCACCCTGGGCTCAACTCTCTGAAGGTCCCGATTCAGCATTTCTGCTGGGGTTCTCAGGACCTGTGGTCAGTTGGGCAGCACAATTCTTTCAATCTCATTACTGTTTGTCTAGCATAAACGTCTTCTTCAAGTCAGATGCTCTCTTGTTGGGATGTCTATTCACATTGACTAATTAGATACACTAATTCAACACCCTCTTCTCCCCCAAGAAGTATTCACCCATTCAACAAACATGCAAGCCCTGAACCAGGGACTCAATGTATACTACATAAAGACCCAGCCTTGCCTTGACTGTTTCAATAATGGTCTTCTGGAGACAACGGTTTTCATGTTGAATCTTCTAGAAGGGATTTTTCAGGCCAAAGGAAAGTGATACTTTCAGAAAGATTTTCAGTCTCAGGCAGTTTAGTTACCACTGAATCTGATCCAAGGAAGAATTGCCTTATATCAAGGATTCAGGATTCAGGATTTCTTTCCTACCCGACTTTTGGAAGCAGAATTTGGAATCAGGCTTTGCATTTAAGTATAGATATCTGAATATAAGGACAGAACACAACCTTAGGAGACCTCCAGAGAATCTGAAAAACAGATCAGCAACTCCCACATAATCAAGAGTTGGCAGAGTATGTTGGATTAGTTTAGAAAGATGATTAGTTCATGCTTGACTTAAATGTTCTGTCTAATTTTCATTTTACAGTTTGAGAGATTATCCATGTAAAAAATTTTTTTTCTTAATAAATCTGGAGTTGGTCCTATTACATACAACTCCTTATTATCCAACTCTGGAATGAAATACTGAGGGAAAATCTGTGTGATCTTGATCCCAAGAGCTCTGAGTGTTTTGGACCTCTTCCTTCCATGAACACAAGGATTCAGTGAGATATTTTCTCAAGGGTTCTTTGTTCATATGAATATAGGAAGCCACCAGAGATGCTGAATTTGGTATACAGAAGGTGAACAATAAATGATAGTATAATCTGATTCTTTAATTCCAACTGAAAAGGAAGATATTAAGGAGACACACCAAATAGAATAGAGTCACTTGCATGGAAAATTTCAAGAGTTAGAAATTGAGAACCAATTCAACAAACATGCAAGCCCTGAAACAGGGACTCAATATATACTACAAATGCCTAATAAGACTAATTGGAACTTTTTAATGAATTGGAGAGTTTAAAAACATATTTTTGTCAGTTTGTTTTCTCATAGAACACACATCTCTCCAGATCATTACAAGGCAGCAATGGAAAAATTTGATAAGGTAAATCAGCTTTGCAGCACTAGCAAATAACACGTTTTTGGTGAATGAATAACTAGCTAGATTATAAAATCAGAATAGGGATTTAAAAAAAAAGAAGTCCAGTGCTTTTGGAAAATAACCTGAGGGTACATTTTATGATTTACCCACAGATTTTAGACTTTACCTGTGCCTCACTTACCTGTAATGTGATATGACAACATCACATGGCCTGGGTGTATCCCAGGTGCTAGTGTATACATGGGATTGAATCCATCATGTAGATCTCAGAGCTGGTCGTCAGGGATCATGAGACAAAGCTCATTTCGATGTCTGGCATTCTAAGTGTCAGAACAATTAAAGTAAATGAAAGAAAACCTAAGGTAAAAATGAATGAGAAATAAAACCTAGGGTTACAAATAGAGAAGAAGAGCTTTATTGCTGTACTCATTCCTTTACCCCTTCTTCTGATCGTCTCCCCTGACTCTTCTGCATATATACTGTCTCTCATGTATCTTTGCTTTGAATCAATTTTCTAATTTTCTTTATCAATAATGCATAGGAGGAGATTGAGAAAGTTAGAATAACAAAATCACATTTTGTTTCAGGGGATCTATAACTCAGGGACATTTAGTAGTTGGAAACAGAAAATAACCAGAAGAAGAAGGGGGCATCACAGTAATGGGGGTAAGTCTTCCTGGTCACACTCGGCCAAGAACATATTTTACTTCTCTCTTCTTAAGTTCTGTGTGGTCTATAAACCAGTTCTTATTGAAGCTGCCGAGTAAACACTGACTAGAACATTTGGTGAAGGAAGAAATAGGCATTTATAAGCATTTCCAGTAAACTGGTTAACAGAGTGTATAACGTCCTCATCTCTAACATTTCACACATCTGCTTGGATTCATAAAATTGGAACTAGGAAAACAAATAATGAAAATAATCATAAAATAGCTGTATTTGTAAAGCCGAGCAGGAAGTCTGCGCTTTAAACAATTGCAGACTGAAAAATCAAAAGCTCTGCAACTATAATCATGTTTCACATAATAATGGAGCTATGTTCTGAGAAATGTGTCGTTAGGGGATTTCATTATTGTGTGAGCATCCTAGAGTGCATTTGCACAGATAACAATGGCTGCAACCACTCTAATTTCATGGGACCACGGTCCTGGGTGTCCATCCTTGACTGAGACTCCATTATGCTGCATGTGGCTGTGTATGTGCACCCTGATTCTAAGAAGCAACCAGCTTGACTGTGAACCAGTGTGAATGGTTTGATGTGGAAAGACACAAGAGACCAAAAAAGGCAAAATGCCAACATAAGAATCCAGCAAGGACTGGTAGTCAAAACCAAAATTATGGATTTCATTCTGACCTAGCTTGGCTAACCTGGTCAGATATGGGCATCCTGTGTACCTTCAGCCACACTGTTAGCCCTGGAACATCTGGCTGAGCTCTTCCCTGGGTCTCGGTAGGAATCACCAGATGTAGGAATCTAATATTCTGGAACTCTAAGTTGATCAGGCATCTCTCTCATAACATTGCCTGAGCAAAGTTCATTTGTGTATTTTCTTCCCACCTATACTGTGAGATTTTGGGGGAAATTACTATGTCTCATTCATCGATATAGCCATAGTGCTCTAAATGGAGATCTAAAAAAAATGTTTATTGACTAAGTAGACCAGTTCCGCACTCAAGGCAAAAATGGCTTCTCAAAATTGTTGACAGTCATATATTTGTTGGTATGCATTTACTGAGTACCCTTATATTTTGTTGGCTCACTGGGTTGATTTTTTTAAATGACAGTTTATGCCCTCCTGCAGCTCACATCTCAAGGGAATGATGGGAGAATGGCAGTGGGAAAGAAAGAGGATGGGCTCAAGAGGCAGTGTGGCACCACCCTTGGTGCCTGTTTCTCACTTAGATGAAGTGAATGGACGCTAAAGAGGTGAGGAGGAGGAGAGCCTGGGTTAAATAAAGACACAGAATGGAGGAAACACCAGTGGAGAGAGAGGAGATGACTAATGCAGTGAAAACCCTCAAGGTCCCAAAGAAAAATGGAACACAGAGTACAAGACAGGATGGGTAACAAGCTAAGTACATTCTAAGTACATTCCCATCAACAGCGAGTGCTCTACACCTTAAAGCAGCCTGGTCCACTTTTAGCAACTCTGAGGACTTGAATATCTGTGATGATATTCTGCCACCGGTCCCAGTGCTGTCTATGGAAAGTCACAGAAAATAGGTTAAATTCCTCTCCTGTGTGACAGTCTTTCAAATGCATATCCCCCCTTTCCTTCTAACTGATGTTCATATAATTTCCAAACTTTTCATCATTTGGGTTATTTTCTTGCTTTTGGGATTGACTAGTGGGAAAATGAAAGTCCGGAGAGAAAAGAGAAGATAAGAAATCCGAAAATTATGGCTGCCAGGGCTGAAGGGCAGCCAGAGAGGAGGCACTAATCCTCTCCCTGTGAAGCCCTGGGGAAGGCCCCAGGATCCACTCTATTCCACCCTGCCTGGTTCTCCAGTCCAATTCATTATCCACTTCCCTTTTTACAGCTTTCTCTCTCCTGAGGTCAGCCATCCTGCCCTTAAATATAGGAATTCTGTTTTGCTTTTCCTATTCTATTAAAATATTGACAGAATAATTTGTGCAAGAGATATTAGGAAGAGATACATATTTAAGTCTTTTAGAAATAAAAGATACTTAAATGTGAAGCTGCAGGTAGTAGTAAACTGGCTCTATCCTAGATCATCATAAACCAACCGAACATTATTTCCTTTGAGGCAACTGCTCAAGAAAAACAAATGGGAACATTTTACTATGTCAGATGCTATGACCCAGTTACATGTCCACATCAAAAATAAAGGAGGAGAAAGGCATCAATACGATTTTTGGTTTATATAAATTATTAGTCTAATAATTTATAAAGTGGGGGAAAGAAATTGCTCAATCAAGGAAGAAACAATTTTCTTCCAGATGTTAGAATCTGTCTATAAACTATCTCTTCCAATTGGACTTTCTTAGAATTATCAATACTTAAAATCATACATCTCTCAAATCATATATTCCTTTTTCATAGCTTGATGACTTTGGATAGGATCAACTTACTCCTTTTCTCTGTAGAATCATTCACCTTACAGTTCAGCTTCATCCACATCTTTCATATATTACCACTTTATGTTTCATATTTAGTGAATGGAACCCAAAATCTTAGAATCAAAAGCTACAGGACCAAACCAATGTCATCTGTCCCCTGTAGGGATCTTTTCTAAATGCATATACTTTAAGAAAGTGCTGGGGAAAAAAAAGGACTATTCATTATCAATAACATTTTAGGTTATTTTCTCCCTAAGGAGGTTTAGCATCATCATGAACCACAACTTACCCCTTTTGTTTAAAGTAAAACCTATCATATGTCAAACCCAGAAAATAAGCTTTCCATTTCCATAGCCCTACAACTTTCAGCAGTTATCACATCTAAGATTCCATCCCTTGAACTTGTACATGGCAGAGACCAGGCTGTCTATGTCTAATTAAACAATTCCCTAAAAATGCACACAGTACATTTTAAGAACATCCTGAGACCTTGGATTTGCTTCAACAAGGACATTCTCCCCTGTCACTGTTCTGCATATTTTTCCACATCTTATCCTTCTTGAGTTTTACTTCCAAATTATAAAATATCATATCAATTGATATATAGAATTTTGCATCTAAGGTAGTCTTATGACTTCCCATTGGCTTCTGACTCATTTCATTGTAGCTTTCTTCTTCATGGTTCTAAAACAACTTTGTTTTTATAGCATTAAACAACAACAACAACAACAGAAAAATGGCTATTGTCAAACACTATATAAGGAAACGGTTTCCTTGACAACCATAACCACAAGCAAATCATTGAAACATCTTCCTCATTACCGGATCTGTTTGGTTGCTGAAACACTTCAAAACATTCTTATGCACAGTCAGGTACTAAATACCTATGTTTATAGAACAAGCTTGAAGCAGTGCAGGTGATAAATTTTCACATGGTAGAGCTCAACCCCGTGACATAGTCTCTGAAGGACAAATGCTAAAAATTTGATATTTAAGATCCAAAACAAATGACTACCCCAAGACACAATTTTAAAAAAAAAGATAAATTAGAAATGTCAGAGAACTGAAAAAAATATTACCTAAATGTAAAGTGACATTTCAGCTTTATTAATTCAGAAGTAGATGCCAAATACTAATTCTCTAATATGGAAAAGTTCAGCTTCAGGGGTATCCACAGAACACCAGAAATTTGATCCCAACCCCTCCTAAAAGTATGTCTAAAATCTAGACACAATATATACAAAGTATCAATTTAAAATAGTTACTGAAAAAATCTATGGTAAAGAAATGCCTTAGAGCCCATAAGAGTCAAAGGATTGCTATTTCTGGGAACCTTTCAAGATAAAAATATCTTCCAAATATCAAGGGGTTTTTTGTTTTATCTTCCCCCAGCAATAAGAAGATATGAGTTTTCACAGATTACAGAAACTTTGGAAAAGTCAATGGGAGATTGTGTACAATGCCATAACCATATCAAGAAAAAAAAATCATTAACCAGAGCATGTAACTTCCATGTTGTCTCAGTCTCCTGAAATCTGTCAACCTGTCAAGGACAGGACACAATGACAGAACATCCCCCATCCTGCTCAATACCACTATTAATTTAGGGATTTCTTCAGACTGGTTGGAATCAGAATAATTTGACTGACATAAATTAAATAAGCAATCATATTTGTGATTGTGTGTTTATTTTTAAAAATGTGCAAAAATAGAGGTTTGACAATGTAATCAAGGTAGTGGAAACTGTTTAATAAGAGAGTAGAGCTTCAGGTCACCAGGTAGGTTGAAAAGGAGCAAAATGATTATATGGAGAGTTTCATTTGCAGAGTTTTATTTAAAAACTCCTAGAAAGCTGCCGGGCACTGTGGCATATGCCTGTAATCCCAGCGACTCAGGAGCCTGAAGCACAGGGATTCCAAGTTCAAGGCCAGCTTCAGCAACTTAGGAAGGCCCTGAGCAACTCTGTGAGACCCTGTCTCAAAATTTAAAAAAAAAAAATAAAAAGGGTTGGGAATGTGGCTCAGTAAAACACCCCTGGGTACAATCCCTAGTACAAAACAAAACAAAATTCCTAGAAAACCTGTGAACTTAGGTATGAATGGTGGAAAGGTAGGCAGAGAGGGAGAGAAGAAAGAAAAGTGGAGAAAAGATGATACAAAATAAAGAGATAAGAGAACACATTGGCCAAGCTGCTCAGGGTTGCTAACATTTACTTAGCAGCTCAAGTAGAATTCAGGGAGTTAGTTAACAGAGATCCTAGGCCCCATTCTGAGGTGATTTTGAGATCAGTGTCAAAATGAAGCCAAAAGATACATCTGAGCCCTGATTTAAGAGAGAGAGAGAGAGATTAACTTTTTTTAAAAAAAAACATACTTGAATTCTTGCCACATTGTTCTACAGATTAAGAATTCTGGGGCCCTTCCATCCATCCAGGCACTAGCAGAATCAGAATGGTAAGGAAAAGTGTGGGCACTGCCACAGCCATTTCTTGGCCAAGCCCCAAGGACAGGCAGGATGGCCCCTCTCAGGTGGCATCCATGTTTAGATTTCCAACATTAACAAGAGGAATTTCATCTGGTGGATTCTGGACATAATCAACCACTTATCAGAGTGGATTCCAGGAGTTATGTCAGGCAGAATCCCATCAGACTAATTCTTTGAGAACTTCAAAAACTTGTGTGGGCAATAGCATTATGAAGAATTGCCTGAAAAAAAAATGGAAAAATCTAGACATTCTGCTGCATGTACTAAATCTGTCTTTAGTTTGTTCCAGGCCAATAGAGCTCTTCATACCTAGACTACCTCATTTAGTTCTTTCCACCTCTTGATGACTTTCATTCATTTTTGTTTTAAAATATATGTATTCATATCTTATTTTGTTCTGTAAAGAATTCAAGGGAGAAATTTTTGTTGAATGGAGCTGTGGAATTAGGTCATCAGCCTGTAATTGATGAAGAGTATGCGAAGCACATCTACGAAATCCCTTTCCAGGTATCACTGAGAACATTGCTCACTGCATTGCAAGGCCTTCTCCTTATAAAGATCCACTAGAAACACTGCCTTCCTACCTCTGTGCAAAGAAGCACGGCGCTCTTCTTCCATCACTGGCTTGTTCTTATCTTGTGAACACAGACTCGGTAAAAGACTGTATTTCTCTCTGGGCACAGAGCTAACTTGGGACCCTTGCTCCTCCATCATATAGAATGTCTCAGCAGGCAGCTCATGGATTCAGTCCTGGGTGTATCATTTTTTTTTCCTTTCTAGATTCTCTCTGTATTCAAATATACTTACTTTACAAATTTTGAATTAGTTCATATACATAGGACATTAAGTGAAAAGGCCAAGAGTTCAGAGCAGCATCTCTCCTGCCCGCAGGTAAAGAAAGGCAAGCCTACCCCATTGGGGCTGGACAAGAACCCAAGCCATTTAGATCCAGAAAGGACTTTGGACCTGTCTTGACCTGGAGAAAGAATAAGTAAACTCACAGACCACTACCACCTCTCAGACCACCCTCACCCATGGGAAGGTAACCTTTAGAGAAGCGTTTCAGGGTGTTATGTAATACCATACAATTCTCCTACAGACTCATGAGATAAAGTACTCAGTGCTTTTTAAAAAACAAAAAATAAGAAACTAAAATTTATTATTCCAATGTAATGTTTACTTTTTCTCTTGTATAGGATGGAAACAACCCAATCCTCTGAAGGAAAGTACAATTTCCTCTGCTGCCTCTGTAAGTGCCTGGGAAATGGCACTGACTTCAGAAATCCTGGAGAACCACTCCCACTACTACCCAGAATGGGTCTGGCTGGTTCTGATTTCATTTGGCTCAATGCAAGGCACCCGTCCCTGTCTAAAACTTTGAGTTGGCTGTTAACTTCGATCTCTCTCCTTGACTCTGCTCTGACCCTTTCCTTGGTCCAATATTTTACTTAGTATACTTCTACAATATCTACTGGCCCGGGTCACCAGGAAAATTCATCTGGCCCCTGTTCACAGCTACTCCCCTGAGCTCAAGTGAAGAACTCATCTTGGTCTTACAACACCCACATGCCTCGGAACCCCTCAGTCCCAAGTAAACAGGAATAGTTAGGGGTCTCCCTGCTCCCAGCCCACATTGGTCATACAGCAAATTGATGGCAGAAGCAGGACCCTAGGTATTTTATTACTTTATATGTTATTATTTAACTTACTCATATTAATGTACTCATATAGAATTATGTGATATATTAATATAATAATTATGTATTATGTGTTATATGACTGTATATATATATTTAGAATAAATATATGTACATTAATATACATATATAAAATATATAGAATATGTATTATATAGAATACAACTTTCAGAAGATAACATTGTGAGCAAGTATCACAGAACTCACTTGTCTACATGGATAAAACAATTATAGCAATATTCACAGTGAAATTTCTCATTTTCATCCCCTGTGATCCTGCAGGCTTCAAAAATACCTGTGTTGCTTTATGCCAGTGTGTGCCCAAGTAATATAGATTCATTTCTAATACTGCTCCAAAGTAATGAGGTTAAGAAGTATATGTGCTATTTAAAACCAAACAATGAATTCTAGACATGAAAGAAATGATTCTAGGATTACCTGATTTCATCAAATCTACAGCTCTCCCTTCCCTATTTAGCATGTGCAACAAGAGTTTCCTATGAATCTGTCTCAGAAGACAAAGGGAAAAAATAAAACTCTGTACTCAGGGAGACCTGATTTTTTACAAATCAGGTAAACAAATTTCTAAAATATCATTGCCACAACCCCTGAACAACAGGAGGGAGGTTCTGGAAGCATGAACAGTCAGTGCACACGATCAATAGGACTCACACATCAACGTTCGTCATTGATCCTTTATGCATTGCTCAAATCACCTAGTCTTGGAAAATGCATGTGCAAACAGGCTCTGGTTTGAGGTTGAGGCAGGAGGACTGCAAGTTCAAGGGTAGCTTTAGCAATTTAGCGAGACCCTCAGTAACTTAGTGAGCCCCTGTCTTAAAATTAAAAATAAAAAGGGTCGGGGATATAGCTCAGTGATAAAGTGCCCCTGACTTCAATCACTGGTACAAAAAAAAAAATGCTTTTATTTGTAATCTGGTGAATATCTCATTTCTGAGCAACCATCAGGGTAACCTATCCATCTATGTCCATTATGATCTTTTTAATAAAGAATGGTTTCTTATTTTTAAAAAAAAAAAAAGAAAAAAAGAAAGAAATCAAATCATAGGAATGTCAACATCCTGAGCTTTATGTTTCTGTACTTGCTGACATATTGAATTGTGTGCACTGGAATAGAGAGTGGGATTAACTCCATAGACACTTGTGCACCTAATTCTGGAGGCAGTATAATCATTCTGTCATGTTTGATGAATGCCTGGATACATCGTAGGATTTTGAGAGTCTCAAGTTAAGCTTCTAGTTTATTCCCATAAATCTCCAGGGCTTTAAATAAAAGTGATCTCATATATCTTCACCACAAGACTCAGGTGCAAAATCCTTCAGCAAGAAAACATCCTCTGAACTAGATATGTTTTGAATTGATCATATGCCCACTTATCTAAGTATATGAGACTGATGCGAAGGCTCCTTTAAAATAATGATAGGAAAAATGGTTTCCAATGAGAAAGCCCCAGAGACAGGAATGTCAATTTATTGCAGGCATTTGTGAAGAAAAAAAGAAAAACTGGTCATTTTTCTTAAACAAAAACGAGAGTCAGACACAGCAAATCTGTTGGCACTGAAAATTAATAGTATACCAATTTAAAAGGAATCACACATTTTTTTAAAAAGCTACTTAATTTTTTTTTAGAGAATTTTAAGGTTCACAGAAAAATTGAACAGAAAATACACAGATTTCCATATACTCCCTGCTTGCACACAGACACAGTCTCCCCAGTTATCAACACCAGCCCCGCACTGGGTTGCTATGTTTGTTATGATTGACACATAATGATCACCCTAAGTTGGTGTCATTCACTCCATGAGTATTACTAACTTATAACAGTGTGGATTCTCTATTGTAATATCACACAGAGAAGTTTCACTACCCTAAAAATCCCACCTATCCATCCCTTCTTCCTCCCCTCACCCCTGACAACTACTGAAAATTTTACTCTCTCCACAGTTTTGCCTATTCCAAAATATCATATGGTTGGAATTATTCAGTCTACAGACTTTTCATATTAGCTTTTTTTCATTTAGTAATATGCATTTAAGTCTCCTCCATGTCTTTTCATAGCTTGACAGCTTATTTCAATTTTTTCTTTTGACTGACATTCTCCTTTGACTTAGAACAGTGGTTTCCATGGCAGAGATAGAGTTTGAGTTTTGCATGTTGGCAAATGTTAGAGCAAATATGGTCTGGATTTAGAGACAGTAGTCATAGGGTTCAAGTTCCAGCTCTGCCGTCGATGAAGATGGGAACTTGGAGAAGTCACTTAACCAGTGAGGGAGTGAAGCCTGAATATAAAGGGGCTTAATTGTCCATGAGGGCACTCAGCTTGACACTGGGCCCAACAGGGGTGCCCCAGACTAGGTGGTGACATGCTGACCCAGTCAATTCTTCTGTCTTACAAAACTGAATTGTCAAATTTTAGAAATTTGGAGTTTATGTGAGGAATAGGAAGCAACTAAGTTTGAAGGGATGAAAAGAAGATAGATTCCAAAGCTAACCTTGCACCCCAAAAGAAATCTAAGTTCTAATCATATGGTGAAACAAATTATAGTCAATAAATATTATAATGTGGGATACAGGTGATTGTAATAATAAGAGCTCACTCTCACAAGTAATCATAGTAGGAAAATAAGATACAAAAATGTATACACAGGTATAGGTTACATCTGTCATCCAACGCATAGAACTGTAAATAAAGGTACTAGAGTTAAGGAAATACTGAAATCCTTATCAGTGCTTATCTCTGGGTAGTAATTATAATTGCACTACCCAGAGTTTTTAGCAGAAAACAAATGGAATTCTTAAACTGAGTAACTTGAGGAGTGTGTATTAAGGGGTTGCCTTCAACTTCCCAGGGTGGATCCCATAAGCAGCCAGGCCAGTAGGGACTGGGGCAGCAAGTGGTCTCTGAAACTGCAGAGGGAACAACTGTGGGAAGGGCTGTTAAGCAGGAGCTGCAGTCACACCAGGAGGAAACCGGGGGACAAACTGCCCAAGCTCACTCACTCACATTGGCAAAGCTCAGTAAAGTCAGAAGGCAAGGGCCTTGGATGTAGGTTGCCCTCCCCAGGCACTCCTACAGGGATGAATGGGGTGATTTCCTCTTCCTCTTCATTCTTATCTGAATTTTTGACATTTTCTCCAAGGAACCTGCAGATCAAACATGTACTTTGAGTTATTTTCTCCTGTGTCATTCCATTTTTGTCTTTTTTTTTTTTTTTTTGCTTAGGATGGGATGAAAAATATAACAGAAGTGTGGGTCAACAAGAAGACTGAAAAATAAGCTGAGGGGATGAGAAAATGCAAAATTATGGGGGAAATAACACAAGGAGTGATTATGGGGATATAAAAAGTTACATTTGGTGGCTAAAGCTAGTCCTCTGAGTCTCACTGTCCCGGTCTACACTGTTCTGCTTATCAAAGACTAATAGTAATAGAAATGATGGTAGTTTCTAAGGGGATCTGAACAGACGTCAGATGTCCGCTTTGACATACACAATCACCATTTGAGAGTCACCAGTCTTTTTCAGCATTCTGAAAACATTTTGTCTTCTTATGTCTCTGATCTAAATATATCTGTTTTCAAACCCCAATAGTATTTTTTTCTTTCTTCCTTTTTTTTTTTGCTAGTGTGCAAAAACCAAGTAGAACCCACATCTGACAGATCTCACAGATGTGACTAACTTTAGTACAAGCAGATGTCAAACCAAGCAAACCACACTTGCTGATTAATTGCATACTCGTGAAATGAAGAATAAATAAGGTTTGTGTTCGCCACTTCCTCAGAGACAGGTTTCTGTAAGGCTAACATTCAGTTCATCAAAAGTCCCCTAGGCACCCAGGCCATCTCTGCTGATCCAGTAGAGGGCAGTGACAGATCCAGGAGCATGGCCCAAGGCAAGGATTCCCCAGGGAAAGTGCCGCTCAGTGCAGCTTTATCCAAGTGAGGCACACGAGGTTACCTGAGCTCATTCTCCCTTTACACTCTGGTCTGCAGCTGCTCCCTTAGTAGCCCTGTGTCCACTGACAGCAGTCAGGAAAACAGGAATTATGACCTTCACCTCAAGCTGCAACCCTGAAAACCAAAGCACAGCACCTCCCACCTCAACAAGATCAGATACATGGCTAGGTTGCTTAGCCATATACTTCAGGCCCAAGGTAGGCCCTGCAAAAAGAAGGTAGGAAACAGCGCCATTAAAGGAGCAGCAAAGGAGCCCCACCCTCCCCCAGGTCCCCATGCAAACCTTCAAACCTAATCAACAGGGAATCTCAAGCAGGAGATGATCAATGCTGGTCCTTGACAGGCCTGTGACTTTAATTAAACAGACCTCTGACTTGACATTATAGTTAATGCAAGAGAGATGAGCTTCATTATGAGCAAGCAAAAGATGTTCCACTTGCAAACATCAAATAAGCTGTGGAAGTTATTAGCATGGATTGTCAGCCGGCAGACACCTCAGGAGATTTCAAGCCCTAAGAATTTCTAGAGTAATTAATTGAAGACAAGTTGGGGAAGCACATTGTGCAAGAGTTTCCCTAGTGCAACTTAACTTTTCTACTAAAGAAAACAACTTAAGTAATTTGCATTGCATCATTTATATGCAATCAGGAGTTAGTCTTTCTTTTGCTGGTGTATAAAAATAGAAAGCATTATAAATGTTAGATATGAAAGAGACTTTAAACACTACTATTTTAAATTTGTTAAGCAATGGAACCCTTTTTAAGATGAATCTCATAAGGAACTTCAATGTATCTAGAGCAGATGAAAAATATCTTATTGATATACATTTATTTGATAAGATCATCTTTCCAAGAGTGCTATAAAGACAGTTACTAAGAACAAGGAAGTTTGTTAAGTGAATAAGATGAGGGTTTATAGATAACAGATTTTTATCAGAATTTATTTTATTTGAATATGTTCTTTGGAACTATTTTTGTTCATGACAGTGATTCCATAGATGAGTCATAATAGATGTTTTTGTAACAGCTTTTTTTTTTTTTTACAACCTTAGGATACTCATGAATTCTATAGGTCAAAAACATCAATTCTGAAGCCTATACTAAAATATTATTAATATCGAAAACATATTAATGAGTTGTCATCTCCAGTGAGTAAAACATTTTTTTTAATGATTGCAGTAGACACAGATAGTTGTGTTCTTAACAAAAAATCAGCTCCTTTTCTTCCTGGGAACATCTGCCAACCTTCTTTGTAGCCATTTATTTCTAGCCAATGACACATACTGCTTCCGCACCTAGCACCTGCAAATTGCCACAGGCAGCCCCCTCCCCATCCCTTCCCTCAACAGCAGGTGGTACGCAAAGGACTCTGAGGTCCTTTCTGAGGACCATGCAGAAGGCCACCTGCAGACCACATCCTTAATAGATTTAAAAGAACAAGCAATAAATTTACCCTGTATTAGAAAATTGAAGTT